CAGTTACCAGGTACTCTAAAGGTGGTGAGCGTCTAGGCTTTGGGTTTGCTGCTATGAGGTACGTTTTGTGGTGCACAAGTAGAATAGGGAGGTCACTGAGGCAGGGATTGTATATTAACCACAAAGACGATGTATTTATTTACAGACTGCCGGGAACAGATAAGCAGCACAGGTCTCCAGGTAGACAAAGAGAAATCTGGCTGAGGCACATTACTTTAAACTAGTTATGGGTTCCAAGTGTAGTTTGAATTTTCTGTAATTCTTTCAGGCATAAACAAGCTTTTACTGACTAGCCACTAGGTTGGATCCTAACACACACAGGATTCCACCCACACCAGCCTGCCCTTTCCCCAGGAGTCAGACTACATGGCACAAGGTCTGCTCATTGCCAGAGACAGGCCTAACAATCAGGTACTCTATTCTCTCTCAGAGGGAGAGCCAAACCACTCTGCCCCACTACCAAGCAGAGCTACCCTTCACTCTGTCGGCTCTTTTCCTGAGCCAGACCTTGCTGCTCTCTGCAGAGGCAGAACTGAACTGAACTCCGACTGTGGTTCCCTCCAACATTCCATCCCACCTCTGAAAGGTGACTGGATGCTGGAGCAGCACTCCCATAGGCTCAAGTGAGTGTCTGTTTCCCCCTTAAGGGACAGGTTGTAAGGATTAGAATTTACAGATCTCAGGTTTTCATTAATGCGACCAAGCTATAAGTTTTCACAGGTTGGTTGCAGCCTGTTTGGGCTGAGTGTTAATTAAAAACACCTGGTGGCCTTGACCAGCGGCTTAAGATGCCTTTATCTGGCTGCCAGGGGCGACCTAACTGGGCAGTAGTCACACAGGAAACAGACAGAGGCTGAGGTCTCCAGGACTTCAAGCTGAAATGCTGCAGACTATGCCCGTGGGAGTGGACTCTCTTTCTTAAGCCTTCGGGTGAGAAAGCCAGGTCGCAAGATTACCCCAGTGAAGGAAGCCACCAAGGAGTTAATGCTTCAGGCTCAGTCTCTGCCCAGTGCAAGTATAGTGTTGTTGTTTTTGCCATTGCTGTAATTTGTGAGTGGTTTCTGCCGAGCAAACACTCTTTGTTATTCGAAGGATTCAAATAAATGCAGAGGTATTTTTTAACCTACCATGTTGGGAGTGTCTGCTGAGTGTTTGTCTGCAACCTCAAGAGGAACCCAGGTGTAAAAGAACCTCAGCAAAGGACCAGGACCCAGTGAGAACCCCAAGGCCCCAGGTGGCTGTGAGCTCAGCGCCTGAGAACGGGAGAGTGTTCGTCCTTGGTCCAGACAACAGGGCAGCCTTCTATCCATCACAACATCTTATTTAATAGTTTCAAAAAAGAATTCCAAAACTATACTGAAGAATTATGTTCTATTGACTTGATCTACCAACTGCTGACACTTGCTATTTCTTAAATAATGAAGGTTGTTCTACAGCCATATTGCATTCATAAGTCCTGCCATATTCTAAGAGCTCTTATCTTCAGATCTTAGAATAAGGTATTAGCATGGCACAGAGATTCCATTCATGTATGTAGTCATCCTGGAACCTTTTGCAAAAGCAACCAGCAGCCTTTGGGGGTAATTTGGTGATAGTGGAGTATTGAAGGTTAGTGAATGGCTGATACCTTTTCTACCCAACTGAATAATCCTAACACATTTTCAAAGTTTGCTAAATGGAAATGAAATATTCCCTTTGTCTGAAGTCTATTATTTGAATCTCTATTAAAGCTGAGACGGCTGAGACAACTGCAACCCAATGAATAACAATACAGGAAATAGAGATTTTCTTCAACATTTTCATGATGGATTTCAAATTCAGATTGTTAAACAAATACAATAAGCCCATTTCTTCTTGCAGTGAAGGCCCCGTTCTTTTAAGTAAGATGGTGATCCCACATCCAGGCTGCACTATTTTAGACTGCAGGGGAAGGCTCACATGATCAAATGATCTTCTGTACAAGTAATTCTCCCCTGCAAACCTAGCAGTTCGAAAGCAAGAAATTGCAAGTAGATAAATAGGTACCACTCCAGTGGGAAGGTAACAGCGTTCCGTGCACCTTGGTGTTTAGTCATGCCGGCCACATGACCACGGAAACGTCTTCGGACAGCGCTGGCTCTTCGGCTTTGAAACGGAGATGAGCACCGCAACCTTAGAGTCGGATTCGACTGGCTTTCGAGCAAGGGAACCTTTACAAGTAATTCTCAGCACCCTATCATTCATACAGTGTCTATAGAAGGAATGTTTTTGTATGGAGGAGCCTACAATTACACGAGCACCTACCTTCAGGCCAAAGGAATACTGTCTAGACACAGCTCTGCCACGTCAATAAGAATGAGGCTTGAGTCACCTATAGGTCCAGAAACCTGTGTCCATAGTGATGTGTAAACATTTTTCCTCACACTGTAAGAACGGAGATTAATATTGTTTTTCTCCTGTTTGACTTCACCCTGCATGATCCTTATTAATGAATGTCCTCTTGGGAGTTCTTGCATAAACAACATTCCACTGATTTGTCTAGCTTGAGGCAACAGTCCCACCAGCCTCTGATGAAGCAGACTACAAAAAGTCACTCTTTGTAAACAAATAACTAGTCTGAATGGTGCAGCTGCAGCTGGATTTGGGGGCAGAAGTTAACAGTATCACACTGGGATCTGGAAGACTCAGGTTCCAATCATGAAAGCTCCCTAGGCAACTGAAGGCCAGTCGTATACTCTCAACGTAACCTATAGGCTACTTTGAAGACAAAATGGAGGAGGGGAAGCCACTTTGGGAGAAAAGGTTGGGTGTACATATTTAAACAACTAATTAATTTCCTATAAATAGTAACTGGTCAAACCTGAATATAGGTGCTGTATGGAACCCAGAGGAGATATGGAATGGTATATTATAACCCAGTCTCATCAGCTCATGGAAGCTAAGCAGGTTTGGATACTTGGATGGGAAATCACCAAGGAAGATTCTGCAGAGGAAGGCTATGGCAAACCACCTCTGCTTCTCACTTGCCTTGCTGGGGTTGCCATAAGGTGATTGCGACTTCATGGCACACATATACACATGGAACACAGACATGCCATCATTCCTGCACTGTAGAGTGTTAGTTTGACATCTGTTTTGGATGTTATAAGCAAGTTATGGCTGCCACTTCTTTATGGTGGATGCTAAATTATGAGACCACATGCAGGCTCATTGGGTGTGAGCTTCTTAGTGAGATGTAATGCCAATGGCAGCAACAGAAGAGCAAAGTAAAGGCTCAATAGAGAGTTTTAGGAACAAGTAGAATAAAGAATGAAACTGGACAAGCGGGAAGATTAATTTGTAGCAGTCATCACAGAATACAGGAATCATCTGTAGGTAGAAGTTGCTTCTTCAGAAGTAGTCTGAAGATTAATTAAGGCTGTGCCCCCAATAAAGAGGCAAGACAGAATTAGCCAGTATGCTGAATACTTTACATGACAAAGCTCCAACCAGACCAGGGCTCTGTTGTTATTATTTAGTATATTCCCAATATGATGATCTTGTCCCTAACAGTGAGTATTCTGAAATTACTTGCTGGTCAGAGTATTGTTAAGGCAGGAGCGTAACAGCTATGGAAGCAAGATGCGGGGAGATGATTTAGGTCTTATGTTGGTAATGACATATTGTTGCATCTACAGGACACCGGAGACAGTGTTTATTCTGTACACTTCACTATGAATATGCTCAGAATCAATTGTTGGGTGACTAGATGCAAAGCAGGACATGGCTCCTACACATCTGTCAAATGTGTATTTGAAGTAATGTTGGCATGCCCAGATCAGAAAAGCCACATCTGCTGTAATTCTGTGCAACTATTAGCCTTGCATCTGGTCACCTTAGCACTCTGCTGGCAGCTCTCTAATTCACTTGTATAATCAGAAGAACATTGCAATTAGGAAAGGATAAGCAGGTGCTAATTGTTGAGAACATTGCTGGAGCTTGACTGAATGTTGCTGAAAAGCAATCAAAATCTTTATGTATGGATAACTCTGGTAGCAAAGTAAAGGTAAAGGCAAAGGTTCCCTTGCTCGAAAGCCAGTCGAATCCGACTCTAGGGTTGTGGTGCTCATCTCCGTTTCAAAGCCGAAGAGCCAGCCCTGTCCGAAGACGTTTCCGTGGTCATGTGGCCGGCATGACTAAACACCAAGGCGCATGGAACGCTGTTACCTTCCCACCGAAGTGGTCCCTATTTATCTACTTGCAATTTCTTGCTTTCGAACTGCTAGGTTGGCAGGAGCTGGAACTAGAGACGGGAGCTCACCCTGTCTTGCGGCACCCTGGGTCTTGAACCGCTGAACTACTGACCTTCCACAGCCTGCAGTTCAGCGTCTTAACCACTTGAGCCACCGCAGCTCCTTGGTAGCAAAGTACTGCAATGTAATTCAAGCTGAAAGAGGGCAGACATCAAGGGCTATGGAGACCACTTATTTTGTTTACAAAATCTGCTTGAATGGCACAGTCAAAGAATTCTTCACACACTGATGCTTCATCCCTAAGGCCACTTTCCTGAGAGTAAGCCCTATTGAATAATGTGGGACTTACCTTGAAGTAAACCTGTTTAGAATTGTTCCTCAAATGTGGTTGCAGTGGGCAATTCTAGACAAATGACTTCCCAAACTCCTCCTCACCTTCACTGCATATATCATGCAATCTATAGCATTCACAGGTGGGCTTGTTATGAAGAGTACCATTATCAAGTAACCAGGATGCTTTGTATTAATTGCTTAAAAATGCTTGCCAACAACGGGGTTGTTATTACAGTATCTCAGCCTGTAGAAAGTAGAATTGATCCCACAGGGCACTTGAAAGACTTGTTCATCATTGCAAAGTAAATCAGAATTGCGGATAAAATGCTATTTTTTCTATTCAAACTTCAAAGGCTTGCAAGGCAATTCTATCTGTACGGATATAGGAACAAGTCCACAATGGTGAATCACACCAAAACTTCTATACTGTTTTATTCTAATATATTAAAGGGGACAGATTTGTATAAACAATTATATGCAAGGATATAAAAATAAGTTTTCCCTCGTTGTTTTATATAGAAAAATATGCATTTTGACATTGTATAAACAAATAACAGCGTCATTTGGAGGTTGGCATGTCCACTTGGTGCTTTTCGCTCAACATGGGGAAGAGGCGCTGCCGTTCTTTCTTTATTCAAGGACCAGGGACTGCACATCTCCTTTCTCTCCCTTCCCCCACAGCAACCACTCTGTGGGGGGGGGCAGTATATCGGCCCGAGGGAGCTGTGCATGCTGTCCTGGGAGGGGATTTCTGCCTCTCGTCCCCATATCTCTTGCACACATGGCAGCCGGGAGCCCAGCCACCACCACCCTTTTCTCCTGTGTGGGAGATCATGCTGTTGCTCCAAAATGGGCGATGCAGTGACTGGGGATGTTGTAAGGCCTGATGGGCAGCCGGGAGATCACGCCGTTGCTTCCAGCCCTGGGGACATGCGTCTCTCATTTTTTTGTAGCTATGAAGGCTCTTATGTACGTGGTTCTCCCTTGGACAAATTCAACTGCAATAATAAACTGGAGCCCTATTTAAAGCGTAAACTTGGTTCTGTGTTTCTCTCACCCCATATGCTAATATTAAAAGTCTTTCTAAATTGACCATTAACTTGAGGAAGCAGTCATTTTTTCTTAAGCTGATGAGTGTCTTAGTGAACTTGCAACCCACTTGAGTGACACTGCATCTTCCCAAAATTCAATTCAGAGTCTGTGTATTAAATTTAAACTCTCCACAGATGGAGGTGCACATGAACTTTATTTCCTGTTCTTCCCAGGAAGGATATCTGTAATCCAGTAGAGAAACAGCAAAGAGATTGCCTTGGCATCATCTGCAAAGGAAAAAACAAATTCTGCATGAAATGTCAATATGATTGTTTTCAGTCAACATGTTAAGATCAAATGAAAAAGCAAAATAAACATCTGCTTCCATTTTGCTATTGAATATGATGGGAGTCTGTAGCTCGGCAGTTTGAGACCTTAGTGCCACGTGACGGAGTAAGTTCCTGTCTCTGGCCCCAGCTCCTGCCAACTTAGCAATCCGAAAGCAAGAAACTGCAAGTAGACAAATAGGTACCACTTCTGTGGGAAGCAGCATTCCCTCTAAGCTGAGTTAGTGTGAGCTAGCCTCCAGCTCACATATTTTTGTCTTAGCTCAGGAAGGATGGCTCCAGAGCAATCTAATTTATGCCGTAGCCAAATTGTTCGCTCACAACTTTAATGCCAGTAGCTCACGATTTAGAATTTTTGCTCACAAGACTCCACATCTTATAGGGAACATTGGTATGCACCTCAGCGTTTAGTCATGCCGGCCACATGGCCACAGAAACATCTTTGCTTGGAAACAGAGATGAGCACCGCCCCCTAAAGTCAGATTCGACTGGCTTTCGAGCAAGGGAAACCTTTTACTTTTATGATGGGGGAGGGAGGAGAAGCACCTATACCCTAGAGCTACAGAAAATAAAACAAAACCCTTCAAGCTCCTAAAAAATTAAAACTATGAAATAAATGGTTTCTATAAAAGATGACTATTGAGAAGTATGAGTCACTATACATAAAGGTGGTGGGACTTTAATTCCAAGTATTTTATTTCTTTAAAAAATGCTTATGGCACCTCTCCAAAGACTTGCTGCAGACCATTCACAAGTAAAACAGTACCATAAAATAATAAAATGACAGCATAAAAACAAGCCAGGGCACAAAAACAACACAAAACATTCTTCAGCAGCTTAAAATGTTAGTAATCAAAATGACTTCAAGGTGGAAGCAGATAATAAAAACAGCTTTTAAATGTCATCTTGATTATGGGTGCAATCCTAAGCAGGTCCCTTCAGAAGTAAGTTCCATTTTATTCAATATTTATTTATTTATTGGATTTATATCCCGCCCTCCCCAAATGGGCTCAGGGCGGCTAACAACAGAGGCAAATGCCATAACAAACAATTAAAACAGCATAAATCAATCATTAAATAAAGTGTGGTGCTCTTGATGTTAAGTCTTATTAGTCCAAGATGGGTTCCATTTGTCAACCTAACCTGACAGCATACGTTCTTCCAGTCATCTAGGCGTCTTCCCAGGGCCGGCTCACCTCTAGGTCTAATCCACCATCAAAGAAGGCAGCTCGGTGTTGGCACAATGACGGCGGCGGCTCCTATGCAAAGGCCTGGCGGAAGAGCTCCATCTTACAGGCCCTGTGGAACTGTGCCGGGTCTGCTCTGATACTCCTTTGGGTAGTGAAGGGCGGGGTATAAATCCAATCTCCTCTTCAGAAAACCCTGGCCCTGGTTGCAGCCAACTTGATGTCCTTGGGGTCTGGAACCACCAATAGGTGCTGTGCCCCCAACCGTAGTGCTCTTGAGGGAACAATCAATGGGGCTTACTTCCAGGAAAATGTTCTTAGGAGGATTGCAATCCATGCAGAGCCAGTTTGGTGTAGTGGTTAAGTGCATGGACTCTAATCTGGGAGAACCAGGTTTGATTCCCCACTCCTCCACTTGCAGCTGCTGGATGACCTTGGGCAAGCCATAGTTCTGGCATAGCTGTTCTTGAAAAAGAGCAGTTTCTGTCAAGAGCTCTCTCAGCCCCGCCTACCTCACAGGGTGTCTGTTGTGGGGAAGGAGAGGGGGAGGGGGAGGGAAAGGAGTTTGTAAACTGCTCTGATACTCCTTTGGGTAGTGAAGGGCGGGGTATAAATCCAATCTCCTCTTCTTATTGGGACACTGGTCTTCCCAGCTTTTCATCTTTGTTTCAATGCACAATTCCACTGTTTGTCACAGTCATTCTTATAATGAACCACCTGACCTTTATTGACTATCTTTTCTTGCCTGGATTCATTACAAATGTCATCTTCTAAGGCTCTTTAGGATCAAGCTCCTTCATATCTCTTTCTTATTTTTCCTTCACAAACCCACTCATTCTTTACTCTCTGTCTGGCACCATATTTTCTTTGGTCATATATTCCAACTTCTGTGTTTTGAATTCTCTGCCTCCTTAGGTTTAAAACAGACGAAGTTGTAAAACAGGTTGTAAAACAGAAAAGATCTTCCCAGCATTGTACAATGGATGAGTACAGGCATGCTGTATGACAGCCAGTGTGGTGTAGTGGTTAAGAGCGGCAGACTCTAATCTGGAGAACCAGGTTCAATTCCCCACTCTTCCACGTGAAGCCAGGTGGGTGACCTTGGGCTAGTCACAGCTGTCTCAGAGAGCTCTCAGCCCCTAAAAACAAGTCTAGCTCACCACCTAGTGGTGCATAATACTAAGAGCTAGAACTTGTACCTGCCAGACAATCTTCGGCTCTCCTGGGTATTCTACACACAATGCCATACTATAATTAATTAACAGGCATGCTGTGACCCTAATTACACTGAGACAATGTAACGACATATGTTAAGTATGCACTAAGACTGGGGGTGGAGAAGGGAAGGTGGCATGGTACAGCTTGATTTCATCAGATCTCAAAAATTAAGCAGGATCAGTACTTGGAAGGGAGGCCCCCAAGGAAGGCTCTGCAGCAGAAGGCAATGCTTCTCACTTGCCTTGAAAACCCCTTGCTGGCTTTGACTTGATGGCACTTTACACACAAGACTGGGGAAGGATATCCTTTATACCCCTGCAGACTTTTCTTAATTGAAACCTCGTTAAAGCTCTTTAAAGAAAAAAAGACAAGCAAAAAGATGGATAGCTCTCCTTCTCCCTTTAAAAGACTAACAATAGTATAGGGAATCCTGATATCGATTAGTAAACTGCTTGGATGAAAGGGTTAAACTCTCTTGAACGTCCCTGTGCAGCTGTAATTTGACTTTAAAAGACTTATAGATACCCCCCTTTTTTTTTGCATGCATGGTGATCCCAGATACTTTCACTTATTTCTGGAAACAAGGGCAAAGAAGAGCAGCCACATGCCTGCTTTTCAGGGCTGTTACATAACGCATCATACTGAAAACAACCCAGAAATGGTGTTTTTGGCATAACTGAATATGCAGGGCCCCAGCATCATTTCTCTGGGCCTGGAACAAACTGGTAACATACTCCCCCCTCCCCCCCCCATGCCATCCTACTCTATTCACAAAACCTTACGAGTCATGAAAGAAACGTTTCTGCTTTATTTCTGAAATTGCATAAATAGATTAACACAGTAGGAGGCTGTGGGTAGAAGCTGTGGCTCTGTGGCAGAGGACCTGCTTTTTGTGCAGAAGGTCCCAGGTTCAATCCTTTGCATCTCCAGTTAAAAGGTGGTAGGTTGTAGCTATTGTCAGAGTAGATGACATTGACCTTAATAGACCAATTACTTGGAACAGTATAAGGCAATTTTATGTGCTCAGTAAAGGGCGGATAACCATTTCTGTCCCCTCATGAATACACAGGCCCATGGGTAAAATGTGCCCAACTCTACCCACCCGACTTGGCCCCTGTGAATATTTCAGAAAAAAGACTGTATGTACAAAAAAGACATGTGGATTGCAGCATGTTAAGTGCACATCTGAAACTACCCATGACAGAGGTAATTATAACTATTTTTTCCTTACCAGAAACACAAAGCAAGAGACTCATCAGCATAATCAAGTGGTTACATCATAAGAACTTAACCCGGAAGACCCAAATTCAATCTATGAAGAATACTGGATAGCTTTCCTTTCTACTGTTTTCTCTCTATCCAGTTGATTTCACAATCTTGTTGTGAAGATAGAATGGAATAGAAGAGAACCAGATGTACTGCACTCAGGGGTCATTTCGTAGAACAAGAGGTGCAGGAGCTCATTAGCATAACTTATTTGCATATGCCACACCCCCTACCATCACTGGAAGTGTGTCAGAAAGCAACACCCACCGCTCAGGCTCCACCCCAAAAATCTCCAGGTATTTCCCAACTCAGAGCTGGCGAGCCTACCTGGAGAAAAACTGCTTATCACACCAGTGTACCTGTATAGTTACATGAAAAATAAATTATTGCAAAAAACCTGTTCAAATAAATGGTCTACTTGTGTGAACAGCGTATCATTAGAGAATGGGACTTGTGCAAGATCGCAGCTTTTTTATATGCTCAGCAAAAACTTTTAATAATGGAAGCAAAGCCACAATCTCATGCAAGTTTCTCTTTCAGTCACTTGCAAACACTCCAGCAACTGGTACACATTCTGCATGCTCCATGTTTCACTATCTGGAAAAGACATCCTTCCTTCTCTAGTAAATTATGAATAACCTGACCCCTTGAGAGAGAGGTGTGCCTAAAACAGAGTTACACACATGACACATATAATAATATTAAATACATAGCCAAGTTGATACATACAACGGTTATGTCAAAGGACTGGACAATTCCCCTAAATACTAATATCCAGATTTGGACTGTTTTGGATTGCTAGCTACTGGGGGGGGGGCCACACAGATCTGCCCTCACAGAAGAGGGAGAACTTGTACCTGCATAAAACTTGGTCTTAAAGGTGCCACAGGACTGTATTCTAGTGAGGGCAGCACTGAGACCAGGATTAAGCCAAGCCAGGATGTTCACAGTTGTATGCCACACAAAAATAGTTAAGACTAATGGCTGTTAATAAGCCAATCTGTAACCACAGGTTCAGATCTTCGTTTGATGGATCCTAACTAACCATACATAGTGGAGTAGTCAATAAAAAGAATCTCATATCTATTTGTTTCAGTGAGAAATAAATGAAGAACCTGAAGTATCATTGTCCAGACATTTAGTTTAGGAGGTTAAGTGAATTCCATAATAATGAGCAACAGTTTCAAAACCATCTCTGTAAAGCTGCTTCCTCAGTTACCTGAAAGATATACAGGGGGGAAACCTAGTGCCTTTGCTGTACAAATCATG